AGTGACAACCGGATGGGGAGGTGCAATTAAAGAGGAGAAGCAAAGGAGTTTGTGTGAGCACTAACAGCAGAAAAACCTCGCACGCTTACATAACCTAATTTTCCTGGGCACTGCTGGGTGTGGGGACCATGAACTGCCTCAAGATGTCATTTTGTGACTTGCCCATTATCTCAAACAGCAAAACTCATGGTCTCGCTCAACTGAGAACCAAAACCACATCACATCCCCAAGCACCTTTTCCCGTGAGCGCACACTCAGCTACTGTCACGTTTCATCACACTGGGAGCCGCGTAAAGCTGCCCCTTGCCAAAGCTCTGCCCGCGAGACAGGTCAGTGTGCAAACACCACAAACAGCTAATAAGCAGGAAAACAGCGAAATTAGGGAGGTTCAACGACGTGCCCCCCAGCAATCGCCACATGCAGCACACGGGAGAGTCTGGACCCAGCAAACGAGGTCTCTGGACGTTTGATGGAGTCTCTCCAACCACTGCACTCCACAAACCACTCACGAAGCCGCACGCTGTGCAGACATCTGCCAACAGTAATTACCATCACTTTGTGTATCCCTGCAGCCTGTTATAAAACAATTAGGATGGTTCTCAAACGTTTCTGTAATTAAAGTATTCTATTGGGCTTCTTTCACCTCACTGAATACAGCAGGGTGCTGCTCGGCCGGGCAGCTTGGGGCTCGGGCACCGCTCCCCTTCCTCCCGCATCTGCTCGCAGGGAAACCCGCCTCCAGAGGATGCGCAGTGGAAACCACAGCTCCGCACCGGGCCGTGGGGATAACACCCCACAGCCGGCAGCGTTTAAGCTGTAATTTGCCTGTTGACACTTGTTGCATCAGGCGTTTGTGTGTCACAGGCTGCGGCGGGTTGCTTTGACCTGCAGAACAGTCACTCACATCCCACATCCTCATCCCACGAGCCTGGTACCCAGCCTGAGCTCACAGCCTTGAGTTCTGCCACCAGTTTTCCTGGTACATCCTAAACATCCTCAGCCCTTAGATGCAATAAGCTCTCCCCTCCCGACCAGCTCTGTGCCGAGATCGAGATCTCGGGAAGCAGCAGGACAGGGACAGACGCGGTGCCACAACATCACCGTGCCAGAGCTCAGCGGGTTTCCAGCCCCTTCCCATGAACTCGCAGGAACCGGCATGGCCTTGGTGCAGGGCTCACCTTGAGCGCGTCCAGGATCCGGCCGTCATAGTCAATCACTACGGTGTCACCCTGTTCTCCTTTCAGGCCGGGAGGACCCTGGAACCGGGGACGAATCCTATGTTAGTTTTTGCAGCATCTGAGAAGGTGGTATAAAAGCAAAGACCCGACACCCAGGTGTTTGGGGATTATCACCTTGCAAACACCATCAAGTTAATCAATTCCTAGTCTGACAGCTGTAACTGTTGTCCAACCAAACCTCAAAAGGGCATAGATTTGTGTAACTGAGAAGGTGCATCAAAATCCTCACTGGATTACCCTATTCACAGCTTCCCTCTTGCAAAAAAGAGGGTCACGGGATGGTCACGCCGATAAGAAAATGGGACTTGACTGCATTTCCCAGAGCTATCTTCCATGGCAGCATCCGGTACCTACACAATGATTTATTTAAATATACAACATCTCTGTTTTCTAGCACTGAACTGGTCCTGAAGCGATTCAACCACATTCTAAACAGAAAGAGGTGGTGGGGAACAGCTCGGGTCAAGGCAAATACACGACTCCAAATTGAAAAAGAAAATCCCTGAACATCCATACCCGGGGTCCGATGGAGCCGATTCCTCCCTTCTCACCAGGTTCACCCTGAAAATCAAAATCACAGTTTTGATTCAGAAGACACCAAGGAAAATATAGGATATTTATCTTAAAAATACTATAACTACACGAGATGCCAAGATGTGTTTTAGATTGAGAAAAAATACATGGCACCAGCAAGAAACTGCTTCTCCTGTCAAAAAAAAAAAAAGATTTGACTTCAGAGCAAACATATTTTGCAAAAAGTAACTTTGGTGTGAGCTAGTTGACAGTAAGAAAATGTCCCATGGCAGAGGGAGCAGAGCAGCCCACTCGGGGCTGAGCCCCCCACCACGGCGCTGTGCCGTGCCGCTCCCCGGCTCCGCTCCCTGCTCCGGGCGTGCCAAGCTCCGGCTCTTTGTGATGAAGTTTCACATGGCTCTCCCTTTGCTTTAGGCTGAATTTTGCGTGTGGAAAGTTTCAGCCAACATGTTTAAACCATTTTCGAAGGCGAGTTTAAGAAAAAGGGCTGTGCCAAATTTTTCTTTTCTTTTTTATCCCCCCCACCCCCTTTTTTTTTTTTTAAATTGGGAAGTTTTGGAAAGCTGTAGCACTCCTGCAGAAGCAACCTGTAATTCAGGTTAGGATTCAAAAAAATCTACCTTTTACAATACCCATGAAAATCCATTTGCTGGTCAAATTAAAGCACTCCAAAAAAGAAAAAATTGTACCAACGCAAAGACTCTCCATAGGAAAACTCCATTTAGCAGATCCCAGGGAGAACAAACCAGCATTGCTGCTATGATTTTAGAAATAAAATAAAATGCTGAGGGTCACTGAACCCACGTTTCTTCATCATATACAGTTTCCTGCCCAACAAGGAGCCACGGCTGTTGGATATAGAAAACACGACTGGATACAGATCCTACTAAACAAGAAGCAGCTGAGGGGGGAAATAACGGCCCACGAACGCTGTCCGGGTCTCATCACCACCACTTAACATATCAAGACTGTCTTATTGCATTTCTTGGCAGTCACGAAGGTCAGTAAGACGGGACGGCACGTAAGCGCTCGGGGCTTTGAAGCAATACCGGAGCCATCAATACCCGGGATCAAAACGCCATCAGAGGTTTGGCTGCCTTGGGAAAAAGAGGCAGCTCAATGGAAAACATGCAAGGAGATGATTTTTAAAAACTCTTACACTGATCTCTGCTGGCATCCAGCTTTCATTAAATCACCAGGAAAAGGTAAAATACTTCTTAAGATCTCCCTGTTTCGTTTCAGTTTGGGCGTTTCATGAGCCTTTCAGAAGGCGAAGGCTTCAAACGCCCACGCAGCTGAAACCCTCTGCCCCGGCAGCGCTGTGCCCAGCTCCTCGGCTCGTGGACTTTGATTTACCTTGGGTCCTGGCGAGCCATCTGTGCCGTTCTCTCCCTTGGGTCCCACGCTTCCTTTTTCTCCCTGAAAACAAGACAATCCAGGCGAACGCTGTACGGGTCGGATGGAAAGCGGGTTTCTTCTGCTGAGAATTTTCTTGCTTTATCTTTACATTTACATACGTGAGCGAGCAAAGCTCTGCTTTTAGCCTGAAATATGTCACGTTGCCTAGGTGCCAAAGGGGACTTTTTGAGACAAAAACGAAGCTTTCAGGCTTAACAGTCTGGCTGCAGGCACTATGTTCAGCCATAAAGTTAGCCCCAAACCGGCACCATCTGGAGAAGGCTCCCACGGATAGACCGCTGCACCCTGATCCGGACAGTGCAAAGCCACATCCTGAACCCCAGCTCTGGGCCACCCCCAGCAACACCCCCCGATTTACTTCTGCAAGAGGAGCCTCCACATGACAATTCTCTGTCATGGTCAACAAGCTGTGTTTGCAAACTTCTTCTGGGCAGAGCTACCGTGGCAGAGGGGTGGGCTATGCTTCTCTCTCTTTTTTTTTTTTGTTTTTTTTTCTGTGTCAGGGGAAAAAACGTGCTTCTCAGCCTGTCCCAACTGTGGCACTGTGCCAAGAAACCAGACAGCAAAAGATGCTGCTAAGCACATACATTAGATGGACACAGAGCAGAACGTACCTTAGGGCCCACAAGTCCTGGTTCCCCAGGGATCCCATCATCACCCTAATGAAATAAAACATAAAAAGTGAAATAAAGAGCTTGTACAAACTTATCATTAGTTTGTATGTCATTTGACCCCCCTGAGTGTTGCACAGACCTGAGACCCACTCAGGTTTGCAGGAGGCCAGGGGAAAGCTACAGCAAGGAGCCCAGGAGGCTCCAGTGTGGTCCTCTGCTACCACCCAGCTCTGCCTCCCCTGCTCCCGAGGAGGTGGACGGGCATCTCTCAGAATTTGCTTACAACAGGCCCTATAGAAAGTGTTCTCCCATCTTTAATAGAAATTCAGTATTTAATCCATTTAGGCCTTTTGGGTCCCAAAAGATCTCCTACAAGCTGCCACCCATCCTCATGGACTTCATCACAAGTCACCAGCACGCCCATCTGCCAGGAGGGTATCTTCTTGTTTCACTTGTCGTGCTTTGTTGTTCTCCTGGAGTAAAATCACTTTGTAGGTGCTGAAGAGGTTAATTTTACTGGCAAATTATGAAATTTTTCAAGCCAAATTCTGGCCTGGAAAACACCCTATTGGGCAGATGCGGGAACACAAGGAACGGCTCAGTATGGACGGCCACCACCATGACTTTCCATCAGTCTCTGGCAATGGTTTCCCTAGTTAAGCACAGAGCAAAACAAAGAGGGGTAAAAAAAAAAATAATTAAAAAAAATCACCATTTTACCTTTTTCCCTTGGATACCGGGCTCACCCTTCAACAGCAACAAACACAGAGGAGAAAGAAGTTTAGGGACATAGCAGAAAGTAAGCCCAATTGTATGGATAGTCAAAATTAATTGTAAAATTAAAATACTTGGCTTATGTTTGTCATCTTTATCCCCTGCAAAATTCAAGAAAGCACATTCCCACAGCGTACCAGCTTCCAGCCTCCCGTGGCTCCATCCAGCCCCATTTCAAGGTGTTAACATGGGCGGTGGTTGTGGTATCGAGCAGGTGACACACTCAGACATTTGCACCCCCAAGTCAACAGCTAACACGATATCTTAGAAATTTTGTACCTGAGATATACAGATAAGTGCAGGTTCAGTGCAAAATACTTATATTCATTTCCACCCACCGTACTTACGCAGCAATGTTTCAAGAATTCATGTTAAAATTAGACAGTTAAGACATTGCTTATTACCCACCTTTGGTCCTGGAGGTCCCCTGGCACCCTGTTGAAAGTAAGAAGTTGATACACTCGTTTGACAATAGAGTATAACAGGATAAAAACATTTCCAAGAGTACTTCAATTCCCGTGGAAAAAAATAACACAGATGCCAACTTCTCATCTCTCCTTACAAATAAAGTCGTTAAATTCTCTGTGCTCTCAGTAAATACTAAATATTCTTTTACAGCTTGTGTATTTTATGTATTATAAGCACCTTTTTACCCAACCTAGGCCTTAGTGAATCAGGGTTACAATGCCAGGAGGCTTCAGAGGGGCAGAAGTGGGGATTGAGGAGCAGCACATCCCTCTGGAGGAGCCAAGGGAACAAAGAACAGCCTCTTTTCTCCCCGCTGGCACAGGTACCCCTGGACAAACATCCATCTTAGGTTATCTATAATTTCCCATGGGTTTTCCCATAAGCAATAACAAAAAAAACCATTATCTGCAGAGAACTAAAGGGTGTAAAGAGAGGGGGGAGAGGGACATGCACACACGAGTGCTTCTGGGCGTTACTAACCATGAGGCCATCCTCTCCCGGCTCGCCTTTGAAACCCTGAAAAAATAAAAAGGCCAACATTGAAACTATTACCCCTCATTCTCCAAAATGCTCAGCAAGAATTAGAACATTCAGCAGCATTATGCTTTAGCCTGTTTTTTTTTTTTTTTTTATTAAGTAAATTGCCAGTCATCTAGAGATTTGCAACAGGTTGACAAGGGTTCCAGATCAGGGAAGAGGTTTCCTCCAGGCTCTCCGAGTTGCAACCAGCACCTGCAAATACACGCTCCAGGTCCAGCTCTTTGCTCCAGAACTGAAGATGGAAGGCCCTCTCCTGCTCCCTTGGCCCCATGCCCCAGAGCTTTGTTGTATGAGCAGCCATCAGACCTCAACTGCTGTCTCAGGCTGGGGACCCAGCGGTTGGGGCGGCAGCACCGGGGAAGGGGACACCCTTCACCCTCCTCTCCCTCGCTGCAGGGGGGACTGCCCGGCATGTGCTCGCTGTGCATCTCTCGTCCTTACAAGGGGGCCTGGAGGTCCTCTTGGGCCATCTTTTCCCGTGTCACCAGGAGGCCCCCGAGCACCTGGGGGTCCTGGCGGACCAGGGGGGCCAGTGGCTCCATCTTGACCTTGATCGCCCTGGAAGAAGTTCACATAGACATGGTGAGATGAAGCAGCGTTGGCAAGTGGTGGCTGGGGAGCACTCGCAACACATGCACTGCGTCCCTGGGCCATCAGCACCCTGGCCTCCGCTGTCCCTGAGGAATTTAGTTACAGCTTCTATTTTGACAGAATTATTAAGATTTCTTTATGATTTTTTTATTATTTTATTATTACACGTAACTATATTTCTTTGGTACACCTTCCTCTCCTCCTAGAAGAGATTGACTTTTTTTCAATTGATCTTTTTTCCCCTTATTATTGGAGTAGGAAAGTTAACCAGATAGTCCAATAGTATAATTATAATTTGGGGTACATCACAAGAAACAAGATCACCAAAAAAAAAAAAAAAAATATATATATATAGCACTTAGTAGTGTCTTTTAAATACATCCAAGGTCATATATTAACATCCAGCATAACTTGCACCCTGAATTGTTTGGATGCAAATAAAAAAGCAGCAGCTGTATCACCATGTGACTGTGAAGGTTTGTGAGGTGCCCGCTCCGGATGGGAGCACCCTGCGGGGCTCCACCACCCACTTATCAGGTCCTGACCCCCCGCCAGCCGTTGCAGCCCGGCCCTGGGGCTGTGGCCAGGCACATCCGTGGGGCTGCACAATGGAAAACCTCATGGAAAGGCTGTCTCGTAAATATTTTAGCAACATCTGGAAGGGTTACCACCGAGGCAGTAAGAGTATTTAGTATGTGGTCCACCCTCAAATCAAGGACAAGTAGGGTATTTTCAGAAATCCTTAAGTGACTCAGCAGCACAAATCCCACCACCTTTCAACAAGATCCGGGCTCCTAAATCACTTATGTAGTTTTTTAAAAAATCCCATTGCCAATGCTGAACGTGGTGTCCAATTATGTAAGGCAAGAGCCTCCCACTGAATTTTTCCTAATTAAAACGTCACGTCTGGAGTATGAGGATTTAGACAACTCTACTTCTAATGCGTTTTATTTTACAATACCAGCACTGTTCATATGAATGTTTATAGGACTTTGCTGCTTGATTCCTAATTCTGAGAAAGGACCAAATGCTAAAACTCATCACTTTTCTGTCTTTCTACTTGGACAAAACTCCCCTAAATTCCAACAGGGCTTCACTGAAGCGTGCTGCCAACAAGCACCTCTGAACGTGGCCACGGTAGTGACAATTTAAAGCAGCAACAGTGAGCTTTCAGCCAAAAAGAACAAACAAAAGCAACTCAAAGAAGCACAGCAAGCCAGTGGCAGCAGATCTGATACGTCTACCTTGAGCACTCGCCGGCTAAAGACAAGCTGATCGTTAGCCAGAAATCCGTGATTGAGCCGAGGAAAAACCATCTAGCCAGGTAAAGTGGGAAGCAGAGGAGGAAAGAGTAAGAAATTAAGATGAAAGCACAGTGGAAGAATGAGTTTTAAAGGCTGTAACAATACATAACAATTTTTCTTCGATAATCAATTGATGCACGAGAAGGAAATAATCTAGGTAGCCAAAAGTGGTTGTTTTAACGTTCTGGATACGCTGGAGCTTGGTAAGCAGCAAACAAATAAAGAAGTATCTTTTCATTAGTTTACTGCACAATAGGACATTCAAAGCAGCTGGGCTACAGAGGATTCCCCTATTGCAGGGCTTTCTGCAGAATAAAGAGCATTATTCCAGTAAACCCCACAGGGGATATATCCAGGCATTTCTCCCAAGACCAAATATTATATTTTTTTTCAGAGGCTAAAATGAATACTGATGTATTCCCCAGCCTGCAAACTGCAGATAAATCTCTCGGATTCATAAGATGCAAAAACAATGTATTCAGCCCATGTCAGTAGTCATTGCTATTGTCTTTTAGCCTTCCCACTTATCTATCTAGGGAGAAGCAGTAAGACATTTCCTTTCTGAGGACACTGCTTGTGTCTCCTTTCTCCCCGTCCATCCCTGCACACATCCGTAGGAGGACCAAAGGGCTGGAGCGAAGCCCCGCGGGAACACACGGCACATCCTCCATGAGGATTTTGGAAGGTTTCTAAGGAACAAACCTCTTGCCTGAATTACTCAGTGAGCTTTTAAACCTTTCAAACAAATAACCTCAATTTTGGGGTAAATATTGCATAGGCAAGCCTACCTCCGGCCCAGCCTCCTAGGGCAGGCTTAGCAGCAGGCAGGTACATCAAGCACAGATGTTTTAACACAGCCATCTCAGCAAGGGAGGGGAAAAGCAAAGTCAGATAGAGAAAACTAATCAACCCTGGAAAATAAACCCCTAAATCCCTCCCAAGAATTTTTTCAAGCTGTTAGAGAGAGGCTTTAGCTCCACCCTCACTTAAATGTAGCCATTTTGGGGAGGAACAATGCTGAAATCCTGAGATTTTGGAAAGCCAAGATGATGCCACATCAAAAATAACAGGGACACACAGCCCTCGTGCTCAGCCAGGCCCTCCAGATACTACAGAAACCAGCACAGGGTTTTGTGGTAGACCCAAAGGACCTAGTTTTATGGCTTCTGATGGGCATGAAGATACACAAGAGCATTAAGTGGGATTTTCAGAAAAGCCCAAGGAGCAAGATAGGAACTGAAACTTTTTTCTTATCCCTCAGATTGCTGAGCACCATCCAAGCACACACCTCCCAAGCCCAGCCCTACCCGTTTCCACGTGAAATGACAATTTGCATTTTCTCCCGGGCCAAACACGCTGTATCCCACCAAATCCAGCCATCGCACGTTTAACTTCAAACAATCCCCGTCACAGATGGGGCCATGAATGGTGAACACTTGAATACAGAGACACCATCTCTGCCCCAAGAAATACCTGAGCTATAGATAACGAGGCTCCAGCAGAGCAGTTTGGTGTGCTGGAGTTACATGTTCCTGCTTGGTGTTTATGCTCTCCCGACACACCTGGCCATGGGACACTGGGCTAACTGGCCTTTGGGTTCAACCCTGTGTAGCAGTGGAGTCTTAGAGCACAGAAGCCTTGGACACTGGCAATTCCCAGCTTTGGAGTACTCAGTATAGCCATTTCAACATAATGTTCCAAAATAAGAAATAAAGTAAAATAAAATGGGATATCCATACATGTTGACTGTGAGCTCTGCAGGACACTTTCCCTGCTGAGCTGTAATCTGCAACTTGAGATTGGCAAACACTTGGCTTCTTGGAAAAAGTAAGAGGGAAGGAAAAAAAGCTACTTTTCTATCCGAGCCTAAAATCCAGCCTGTAGCTACAGAGCCAGTTCAGCCACGAGCCAGCCAGCATTTCGCCCCAGATTAGCTCAGATACAGGCACAGGCCTTACTGGTGCCATCTCCATCGGTGCTGGCCACCGAGCAGGAGCATGCTGCATGGGCCACTGCAGACAAAGGCATGTCTCTCACAAGTTGAAGCCTCTTTTCTCCCTCTCAAGAGCAAACCGGCATTGCTGCCACACGCGCTGTGTGTCCACTGGCCCAGATGTGCAAAAAGTCATCGATCCCATCGTTTGTCTTGAACACCTCAACTGTCAGGCAAGAACAAGATCACCCAAGCCAAGGTAATAAATCCAGAGTGGTCATCCCAGTGCCAGCCTGAGGAGAGTCTGGCTTTTAAAAACAGTCCTTTTCAGAGGTGTAGCAGTACGTTTGATTTTGAACAAGAAATGCAAGCATGAGTACCAGGGCACAGCAGCCCCAGCTTTGGCAGCATCCCGACTCCCTCTTTCCTCCCCAGAGCAGAGGGAACCCACTCTTGCTTTCTCCCTGTAAATACACTTACGTGTGTTTTGTTGGTATGTTTGAAAACGTTTATGTGCAACACCGTCTCTGATGCAGTTTGCAAGCACTAGCGTTCAGTGCCTCAGAGGATGTGAACACCCTCCTCAGCTCTGCAAAATCACCCTCCAAAACCAGCATTAGGCACATTCCCACGGGCAATAATCTGTTTTTTTTTTTGTCCACGCTGGTGGCAGGTGTTTATTAGAGACAGCAAGAGAGGCAGTGCAGACACAAACCCATTCAGCAGCTAATCCCTAATTGCTTTCATCTCACTTCCACTATGGACAGTCTCTCCAAAGCCACGCCAAGCATTATTCTCTCTTAAACTATCGTTTCTAATAACAATATTTTTGTATTCACTGACACACACTATCCCCACTCCACCACCCATAGACATGCACATTTACGAGGGAGGTGGCCCTGGACATATCCCTAGTTATTTATCTTCCCGTCGATGCGATGACTTGCTGCAACACATCTTTCAAAATCAGCTAAACAAAGCCACCACCGAAACTTGAGGAAGAAGATAGATTAAATTAAGGAATAAAAAATAATCTGGGCCAGATGGTATTAAGAAGTTTCCTGTCCAATCCACAACCCTGAGTGTCTGGAGATGTAAAGGAAGCTATTTTCAAAGGCAGGCATCAGTTGTTAGACCTATTTGTGCATGGCTCTGCCAGGCTTGTTTCTCCCCATGTTCCTCCCAAATTGTTTCCAAGCCTTTTTCTTACTCTTATGCAAAAAGATATAAATAAATCTAAAAGTAAAGCAAAATCTGGACGAATACAGATCAGGAGGGAAAAAAGTGCATATCTTTTTTCAGTAAATTAAAACATAGGACGAGTGCTACCTTGGGAACTGACACCTGCCCCTGCGAGTCCAGACGGATCCTGTCCCCACAGCATCTTCTGCAGCACAAACAGGATCCATGGCAGGAGGTGGGTTCCCACATTATCCAGCAGCACAGACCACAGGGGCTTTGGAGCCGGAGAACCTCCTCCTGCATCTCCTGAGTCACCAGACCCAAAGTCATCCACAGCCCCAGCCACAGAGTGAAAACACACACCCATGTGCTGCTGAATCACCTCTTAAAGCCTTTTCTGATGACGTGGGTGGGCACTCAGACAAGGTTGAGACCTTATGCCGAGCTCCTCCTTAGCCATGCAGCACATAATCTATCGGAGAGATTTTAGGAGCTCTCGGAGCCTGAGGGTGACATTTCCAAAGGCACCCAAGGCAGTTGGGAGCTGCATCAGAAAACACCACCAGCTTCAAAAAGTGACTTAACAGACTCCAAGGGAAAAAAAGAAAAACGACTCTGAGGCATCTCTGCCCAACATTAGCTACTGAGGTCCTGGCTATGTTTCTAGCAACTGCGTCTCAACCTACTGGCCAACTCTTTGGCACCACCTCCGTATCTGGCCTCTGCAGGGGGCCCACACACCAGCATCCCAGCACATCCCTGCCATGTGGTTTCCAGCAGGTACCCATAACCAACTGCACCTCTGTTTTGGCAACAGAGCCCACCTCGGAAATACCGCAGACCTCGTGGTGAGCCTTCCTATCTCGACATGGGAGACTTCGTGGTACCACTGCCATCACCAAAACAGTTTTCCTTCATCATACAGTTACTATAAACCCTTTATTTTCAAGCAAAGGCAGCCCACGCTCCCAGGTGGGTAGCTCAGCAAGAGAAGAGGAACTTGCCATCCAACACAACACCGTGCTGGGTCTTGCCTTGGGACACCGGGTCTTATTACCACGTGCTTGTGCTCTACTGACAACAAATAAGGACCACAGCTTCAAGAGAAAGATGGAGTCTGTCTCTGACACTGGAAGAAGGAAACAAAGATAGAAAAGTTCAGTAGAAAGCGAAACCCTTCATGAGGTACCTGAATGTCTTCAACTCGTTTCCCCATAGTCAATGTTAGGAAAACCACCACCGCAAAGAGCTCCAATGGCCAAATTAAACATTTCCAGAACCGTTACCATACCTCAGTTTGCAGTGACAAAGCTGCACGAAGCCTTGTTTTGTGCCGTGACCAAACTCAACCAGATCTTAGAATAAATCAACATGCCGTGTCACTACTCACCCTTGGGCCGATGTCCCCTGCTTCACCCTGTGCGTCAGACAAAACAGCAAGGGTCAGCTACTGGAGTTCAAATGTCAACCGCGAAGGACCGAGCATAGGGTCAGCCGGACACGGGAATGGCGCACGAGGGAAGTGGCGAGAGTCCTATTGCTTAACGTGTTCAAAACCAGGGAGGAGAAGGGCCTGAGACAACACAATAGGGAATCATTCTGCCCTGGCAGGCAATGAAACAGATAATAAATCAGAAATAGCAGATTGTTTCCAACTCTAAGGCTCCCCTAGCAACTGCTTATGTCCTACACATGCGAGGACTAACATCACTTTCAGTACAGTAATGACCTTCTTTGGCTGCTCTGATTTCGTGGGAGGATGTCATGCAAACACAGAGCGATGCAGCCCACAGCCTTGATCTTGGAGGAAAGCAAGAAGACGGGTTGTGTGCTGCTCTCCTAACTCTTAACAGCTCATCCTAATAGCATGGATGAGCTTTAAGGCCATACCTATTCCTCCTACATCTTTACAAATTCTTTCTGCCTTCCCCTTCCCAGGGCTCATCCAAAAGCAACCCAAGAACCTGCTGTCACAGCTCCACGTCCCAACCAAACCCAGTGGTTTGGCATATTGGAGTAACTCGAACTGAAAGAATTACAACAGATGGAGGACATACAGCTGTTTCTCAAAAGCCATGCATTCACGCAGTCTTTACCTTTTCTCCTTTTGGTCCTGGAGGTCCCTGGAAATAACATAAGAAGGATCCGAGTTCAGAAACAGCAGAATCATCAGTGCACACAACATCAAAACCAAGGAGACTTCATTCACCGATTCACAAACCTGAGCTGCGTTCGCTATTATTTTAAGTTATATATGGTATTATTTTAATTTACACACTGCTTCACATGAGCAGCATGCTACCAAAAAGCACCAATGTCCTACTGGCTCTTGCCAGGACAGAGGACCGGAGAAGGACCGGGGCAGCATGACAGCCGCGCGCAAACACGTAACTCTAAATAGATGCAAGAGATTTCTTGAAGTATTAAATCACTTCTAGAAAAACACATGCTCAGCATATCATTACAACAATTATACATCTGTTTGAAATAAACAAGGAGGATGGGCTGCTTGCTTTGGCCTATTTGCTGAAGACATAAGTCATCCTCCCTCTAAGCAGCTTTCTGTAAGACAGGCAGGGGCAGACGCGCTGCAGCCCCAAAGAGAAGCCACAGGGCCACGCTTTGATGTGCCTGCTCTGCATCCTCCTTCCAGCACAGAAAAATACTGAACCTTGGGGTTCAGCCCAACTCACGGTGTTTGCTGAAGTGGGACTTGGTGGGACGCAGTCGGGGAAGGTCAGCAGAGAGGCCGACAGCAGCAGCATCCGCATCCCCGCGCCGCCGCCCTCCTGCTGTTAATTTGGCTCCGAGCAAGGCTGCTGGCCCCTTGCTTTCATGGAAGGGATTACGAACAGTCTGGTTTGAGTCTGACCGCTTGACAAGTTTGCTTTTGCGTTGGGATTTTCCCTGCCTTTCGCCCAGAGGTCTCACTCCTGCCCGGCATGCATGCACAACTCGCAGCCGTTCGCACCCGCCTGCGTGCCGAGGGCAGTGGGTGCAGGAGCTGCTGGGGTTTACGCTGCTCTTCCACCGTGGGGTTTTGCTACTTCAAAGCCAAGCTGTGAGCTAGCCTTCCAGTTTCTTGGGATTTTTTTCTTTTCTAATGCACTCCATTTCTTTTCGTTCACATTTGTCATCTTCAGGGGTAGGATAAAAACCAACTACAGCAAAATACAGCTATAAAAGAAATACTCCCTAACTGGCTAGAAATAAGTATCTGGAGCAACTTTTTGATGGCAAAGACTGAATTCCACCCACTTTGAAAATTCATAGTTGGAAAAGATTTCAAATGGTGCCCTCTGGTGAACACGGTGGAATAGACTGGGATTTGGACACACTACTGAGCTGCGACCTCCTGGAGCAACAATCCAGTTGAAGGAACGGGAGCTGGCTAGTGTTCAGCTAGCATAAAAGTAAAAAAGCCTGTTGTTTCTGTAAAATAGATAAGAAAAGAGTGGAGCACCTAGGCCAAAGGGCTTCCAAGCAAAAACAAAGTCAAGAAAACAGCTCATAAAATGAATTCTGGGCAGTTCCACAAAGTGCTGCACAGACACTGGGCACTCTCAAGCACTTCCCATCTGGGCTCCTTTGGATGCAAATGAACCCAGTTTGGGAACAATTATTTCTATGACATCACTTCAGAGTGCCAGGAACCCGCTACCAAGATTACTGACCCTGCTCCTTCCAAGGTGCTACTAGAATTTATTTCCCAAATTTGGCCTGCAGCCCATCTGCAAACCCTGCCAGCCAAGCTGGCACAGGACGGGGAGAAGCAGTCGAGACAAGCTGACGGGTTAAGAAAAGCTCACCTCTAGCTGTGCTGGCCAGCCCTGGCTCAGAGTTTAAATTTGCATGTGTTACAGACCACAGAACAATTTTCCTAAACACAACTTTGTCTCCTAGACAGTTATGTATGTAGTAATGAATGAGTAATAGTTGATCTTCTGCCTATCTACTGGAGAGCAGCGTGAATAAAGACATGTTACGTTTGGCACTCGGTGCTACTTACAGGTTTGCCATCCAAACCAAGAGGCCCCTGAAAAGGGAAGGAAAAGACAGCGTTATTAAAAAAGAAATAATAATAATAATAAAAAAATCAATTTACAAACATAGCAGTCATGCTCTGAAAGAGGCTCTACTTACATCTAGTACAATCTTTGGCTACGTCGCTTATATAACCTAATCCTCCATCCATGCAATCCAGCAGGAAGGTTTCACAGAAGCACAGTAAGAGGCATCAAACAACTCAGAGTATGAAGCAGCGTGAGAGGAAGCGACAGGATTAGGGACAGGGTGATACCGCTCTGGCACAGTGCTCGGGACTCCCTGAGGGTTTTAAAGACTAAGAGAGAAGCAGTAAAACATGCCTGATTTGGTTAAACTGAGCAAATCCCAGGAGCGATTCACATCAACCTCGGATCTGAACCATTTGCTTTTGCAAAAGGACTTGCTGAAACTCTATTATTTTACCCCAGATGTGGGGATCAGCCATCACCCTCAGTCCGTAACAGTAAATCTCACTGATGGGAAGGGGTGTCTTGCTGTGGACAAGGAAGGGTGCAGCTGCCCCGTTGGCCAATGCCTACATGCTTTGCTCATCCGCAGTGATTCAAAGCTGGAAATGAACTTGTATCTGCAGGACCAACGCTTGGTCACCCCAGTTCTTTCCCAGGTCTCCCGTTTCTAGAGCTGCCACAGGAGTGCATGGTGAATCGACACGATAAATGGTTATTTCCCCACCATTTCTAGTATGCAAGTCCTTAATTAACACAAAATCACTGAACGTATTGGGCCATAGGAAACCTGAATTTTGAGGAAGGATGCACGTGGGTAGGGGAAGCACAGATGCCCCAAGACTCACGGACAAAGCCCAAGCTGCCCCTGCTGTCAGCTGGAGCTGGTACACAGGCACTTGGGGACGGAGAGAAGCAGTTCAAAACCCAACAGTTTCAGTTGAAACCCAGAACAGCGTTTCCACCCACCCACCACTCGCTGCCTGAGAACTTAAAACCTTCCCTCATTTAAACCCAAAGAAGGTTCAGCCCTGCAAACCATTCCTGAAGAGACACGGCTCGATGGTCACCAGTCAGTGAAGCCCTTGGACACCTGCTTCCACCTCCAGATTTCCAACATGCACTTATGGGCTTTGCTGGGTGAGGATCTGCTCCAGAGGGAGCCGGGGGCTGTGTCCCTGCAGCAAAGCCTGATCCAGTTTGGACTATTGTATAACTCAAGGATAAAGGGTCAAAATTTTCTGTATTTCTCAGGGAACCAATCAGGGTGAACTTTTTTTGGTTCCGTTTAAATCTGTGATGGTGAAATTGAGCAGAATAGAGAAAGATATGTAAGAGAAGAGTGGCTGCATTAAAAACAGCATCCTTCCAGCTCACAGCTCTAGCCATCGATAAGGAATAAATCAGTCCGCAGTGCCTGTGGTGACTGGGCTTGGAATGTGAAACCATGGTGGGAATGCAGCTCTGTTAGGAAAAAGAGAGAAATCCAGGCAGCTGAATCCTGGGCAGGACATCGGTCCCTGCGTTATAAAGACCAGAGGACCCGTACGAGAGATTTCACCTGAAAATGAATGGGTTTTTCTTTACACACAAGATTTCTGGAGTGACCAAACATTCACATGAGGTATATTGTTTCTCATACAGAATTACAAGTACACAACTGCTACACAGCAGTAATGAAAAATATAAATGAATGCCATTGCATTCATTAACACATAGGCTTGAAGGTCACAACCAAACTACTGCTTCTTCCCCTAACACCCCCCTCCAGGCTTTCTCTCACCTCCATTCCTTACATTATAACACCTGGGAAAGGCATCAGGTTCACGGACCGTCTTTTCCGAAACTACTGATTATTTGAGATGGTTCACCTGAAGCTCCCAACACAGCTCTCTGGCTTCCAGAGGACAAGACGTGGGACCTGAGCAGAAAACTTGTAGTGCATTCAACTTCTCAAAGGAGTAGAAATCCCAGAAATATGTTTGGTTTGTTTTTATTTTTTTAAATTTACAATACCAATTCATCAGCTTTTAGCTATTCTTGTATCAGTCCGCAAAGGGACATCCAGAAGGAAAAACAATGGCCTATTCAAAGGATGTTTGTTTGAGGGAACACAATTAATGTTTGAGAGAAACAATATCCATCGCCTTCAAAGGGGCTCTTGGCCAGCTGCACCACTGAACGGACAAGACTAAGACTTTTAAACGTTTTGCTAGTCTGAGGTGGAGATATAATCGACTCTGCTCTACCTACCCAAACGTCTGTGTGAGCAGAGTCAGGGCTTCCAAAAGCAGCCAGAGGATTGCATGTGCAAAGTTGGAGAGAGTATCCAAAATCTGGGCTTGCTCACTTGATTGCCTGCAAATTTCAGGAGCATCCATGTGCTGACATCATTGTCTTCTATTTGTATTCTGCTCCATGTCACTTTAATTAAAGATGAAGGAATCCTTAGTTTATCTGATAACTAAGGAACAGGAAAACAACACGTAATTCCCCATTCCCCCCATCAAAAACCACATCTATAGAAGTTTTCATTTTGGGGGGCACAAAAATCACTTCCACTTAAACAACCAGCACAAAGTGTAAGAAAAAGGTGAGTTTTCTAGACATCCTATTACAGGGCCCAAGTAAGAGAAATCACTGCAGTGGCTTCATGCTGTGCTTCTCTCCCAGGGGTAAATTTCACTCCTGCCTTTGCCCGCTCTCGATTACAAGCTTTCCGCTCCGAATCACACACACAGTGATGACACTTTACGTAATTTAAATGCTCACTACAACAAGAAGGGATGAACTTTCTGCCTACGACAAACCTGATGCTTCAAGACAAGGCAGAGGGAAAATCAGCCTTCCCTGAAGCATGGCTGTGACCAAAACCATCACTGCAACCCATCAATTCTGGGTGCTTCGAGGAAGACAACACTGATGTTGTCCCAGCCAACACTGTTCGGTGGATGTTGGAGCCCACTCCTAGCTGTAACTAACTCAGATCTCATTTTCTCACCACGCACCAGTAAGGACCGCCTGTGTTCGGTGTCAGGGCAACATGGCTCTGCAGGGCATCCTCCACATTTGAAGAGAAAAGAGGAAACACTGCTGTCTGTTTGATAAAGAAAACATATCTGGAACATCTGGCTGGAGCCCTCAGGCTGCCAGGGCAGGAGGAGCTGGCGACACGGAGCAGGGGTGAGCAGTAATTGCAATTACTCACCTTGGTTTTACCCCTCAACAAACAGTAACATAAGCACATGGTGTTCCTGCAGGTGTAATGACCCAAACAATGGTGCATCCCTACTGCCATCGTAGAGATATTATTTATATAATGATATCTATTTTATGGTATACATTAATGATATATTATTTAGCGATCTATATTTATACAATGATGCTGAGAACACAGATGCAGGACAGGTAAGATGTTGGGGGCTTGAGCAGAGCTTGTTACTACATCACGGGCTCTTGCTGCACGCCTTGGTATGGCCATGCAACATTTCAACTTCAGAGGAAGATGTTACATTCGGATACATTTTAAAATGAATTTCAAGTTGTTTTGTTTTGTTTTACAGTAGAAGCTCAGAAGTCTTGGGGTGTAGCACCAAAACGTCACCTCTCATTGTGAAAGTGAGATGCACTCAATGCTGAGAGCAGCTGAAGGCTCGGGAAGTTTTGAGCTCGCCAAAAAGGGAAGGCGTGGGGCTTGCAAGCTTTGACTTACATGCAAAAGCTGTTCCAATAAATAATAACCATTTCCTCCGTACATCCCTGAGCCCTGCTCAAAGTGAGCCCAGGTGCCAGCCTGGCTCACTGGCCCTCTGCCTTCCTCTTCCAGTGCTGTTACTGCTGTTGCCAGGGATGTGCTTGCTCTAGCAGTGTTACAGGAATTTCAAGGGGGAAAAAACATCAGTGAAAACAAAGCCAGAGATTATTAAGAGGACAATCCTTATGAGTTGGGAAATCTTCTCTCATGGTTATTTTTAATGTTTCCTGCTCTGCTAAAAATTAGCACAGGAGCCGGAAGGAACCCTGCTGTCAAATTTTAACAAATTCAAAGGGCTGCCTTCAATCTTTGTCTCTGTGGTTTTGAAAAACGGTAAAAGCTTACATTTGAAAAGGAGAGAAGTGTCAGAACAAACCAGCACAGCAATATTTTAGTAGCCCTGAGAAGGGCCCTGGGGCATTAGGTGGGATGGTTTGCAGTGCAGCCAGCGAGCAGGGACCACCCTTCCCCACAGGCGACACTAAATCTTCACAAGCGGGACGGTGTCCGCCGGCGATGCGGTTCCTCAGCACATTTTTGTATGAGAAGAAAGCTCTGGCAAAAGCTGTGGCCAAGCATGCCCTGCCAGACCCATCACAAGGAAAGTGAAGAAGGGCAGCCAAGGTTGCTGTGGCTCCTCCGAGCTTCCCCGCTGAAGGAAAAGGGACTAAGAGATGAAATGTGAGTCCTCTAAATAGCAGCTGAGAATCGCTGGCGCTAACTGCCAATGAATCGAGTACAAGAGATGCTCTGGGATGTCACCTCGTCCTCATACCCATTACTGCTACCCCTCCTCCCTCCCAAAAGTCCTCAGTGCAGAAGGACCAGATGTCCTTATAGAAAAGTGAGTTTCTACTCCATCCAATACTGCCTCTGCTACAGTAATCGTTCGCCCTTCCAAATAACGTCATTTAAATATCTGTGAAGACATAAACTGCATGCATGCAAGGAATCATCCTGCGCACACACCGTCTGCAGTGGACAAGTCTGTGGTGAGAGGTTCCTCCTGCATCTGCCCTGACCTCTGGGGTCCCTGGTGTGAGACCTCAAAATCGTGTCAGCCTGCAGCACAACACAGCATTGGAAACGTTCCTACCAGGAGCTGTCCTATTTAAGCATTAAGATCATTAAAGTCACGATAGCTTCATGGTTATCTATAGTGCGGATGGTCTCATGGGAATAGGATGTGATGGGATGGGATTGCTGCCCTGCACTTAAAAGTAAATAAATAAAAATTTTTCAGCATGAACATGATTATTAACAATCCTT